TATGTATGCACCTCTATCTTGCCATATTTACCAAAAAAAGAGAATGTTTCCTGAAGGGCACACCTAGTTACGGCAACTTAGAATCTTGAATAAAGTTTGTGACATGGAATAAGGTTGCTTTATGGGTCAGAACATAATGGGTGGTGTGAATTCCCGTATAATTTATCAAAAGGTGGGTTGGATTCCCGTAGTTTTTTTTTAATTGGCACATCAGTCCATAGACTTTCAAGGATGGTGGACATGTCCGTAGTTTCATTAGCCAATTTAACCACTAGCCGCTGGGTGTCATGAATATATGTCATGGCTGTTGTTGACCAAGAAATGGATGGCATCATATCATGACCATTCCCGCGCCATTGGTTCACTGGATGGAGTTTGTTTTTCTCTGATAGATTTAAGACAACAGCACCTAAAATGAAGGTAAACCTTCAAATTATATTTCTATATATTATAGAAAAATAACAGCTTTTAGGTGCAAAATGTTGCTCACAAACAGGAAACTCCCAATGTACGCTAACAATCCCCGTTCTTATGTCCACTTGCCAAACTTTTTTTTTTTTTACTCGGCAGCATTGGGTTTATGCATTTTTTTGTGCTGGTTTTACATATTTCTGCTAACAATTCTTTTTCTTTTAACTTGATTTACCCAATAATTTCCTTGACCTACTTCGTGCCCTCCCCTGCTATCAGAATTTAATACATCAAGATTGTCGGCTGAGATTGCTACCAAAATAATCAGATTCATTTTCGTCACAGAATAAATTTGATATGAATATTGTCTGGGAAGTCCCAGTTGTCAAACAAATAATGAGTTGGCTAATGAAATGAAATGGTAGAACAATACAAACCAAGAGGAGTTCTTTGGCAACATTCATTCAAATGCTTCCTAAAGGTGCTATACATAAGTGAATAAAGAAGATCAACCATTTTTGAGGACCCTCATCTTGTTTTTCTTTGTGAAGATACATACAACACAAACCCCATAAGTCATCATTGAGATATCAGGTAGTTCATGTATTACCACATGCTTGTAAAGAGGATTATTTGGAAATGATCAAAGACTGCTTTTCCATATTCATGTTTTTAACTGTCCTTTTAATGTTATGATTCTACTTTTGTTTGTTTTAAAATAGATTCATAGTTTTCAAAAATAATTTGTGCTTATGCTTATTTATGACTAAGATTTTTGACAGGCAGAAGACTCCATTCCTTGACAAATGCAGGCAACAAAGATTTCATTTTCTTAGTGCTGTGTCAATTCTGTCATTCTTAAGACAAGATGGTGGGTATGATGGAATAGACATCAGTAACCATTACAGTTTGATATCTGAGTCTGCTAAGTGCTTCAAATGTCAAAAGAAGGGATTACAGACTATGAAATTCAGACAAGCAACAGCACTTAAAAATGCTTGCGTTTTTGCCATACTAAAGTACATAGTCTTCCAAGAGCAAATTCTTATACGGCTAGAGTATATTCTGTAAATATCAAATAGGTAGGCACATGACCATGGGGGTCCATGGATTAAATGGCAAGAGGATATTGTACATACATAGTCCAGTTAGGTAGGGTTTAGGGTTAGGCCATATTCTAACAACCCCCTCCCCCCCTAGACTTCTGATGATGGCAGGTGTGTCTAAAGTGTCAGTAAGTCCATTCAGTGTTCCTGAATTTGAGCACTATCTTGCCATGCATGCAGAGGTGAAAACAGTGTTTATTGTGGGGTAATAAAATTGTTGGAAAAAAAATGTGAAAAGGAGTTTGGGATTTGGTCTCTGGTGAGTGAAATGGTATTGGAAAGAATTACCCATATCAATTCTAGATAATTGTTACTGAAAGCAACTCACCCTCCAGAGACTTGAAGTACCAAAACTAGGGTATCTTGCGAACCCAAACACCTACTCTAACCTTTCCTACCTTCTATTTATCCCCTAGACAGAGAGGCAACACCCTTTGTACCCCCTATTAATTAGCAGTTTGTGCCAAATTATAAAAAATGACATTAAATACTCTGGCTGTGCAAGGGTGTTCTGGACTTGGTCTGTGAGTGGCGATATGCAGCAGACATTTTCATCATTTACCGATAAACATGAGGCTGCTGCAGCTTAAACTAAGTTGTTCCTTACTCTATTTCTTACGATGTATAAGATGGCGGGTTTAATCTATTTCAACCTGTTTTACTACGTAATTTCACCAATATACTTCATGCCCTCCCCTGCTGATGGGACTAAATCACGATTCAGTGGAAATGGTCATCAGATCCCCTCAACAGCTCCTTTAGACAAAAAATAACACATTTAAATCTGAATTTCCAACAAAAACATATCAGAATCATTTAGAATGTGAACCACTCCCTATATTGACTTTCAAGGATATTCTATATTCGTATTAGTATTTTGAAGACATGTATAATTGCTCTATTGATTGCATTACAGGATATACATTAACCCACTAACAACGGGTATCCCACATACGAGACACCCGAAAAAATAAACATTGCCGGGTGTCCCACCAGTGTGACGCTGTATCGGGTATCAAGATCCGACACAGCAGTGGGCAGGCAGAGTCCAGGGCGGCCCCACCTGTCAATTTTGTAATTTAAGAATAAATGACAATCAAAAGATATCTTATCAAATTATCTAGTCCTAGTTCAAATACACCAGGATACACATGGATGATGATGGCTGACTTAAATGTTATAGAACCATGTGGGTTTAATCCTTATGGTATATGCATTAAGCTGGGGCAAATTGAAGATGATATTCTTGTAGAATATTAAAAGCTGCAATCATCAGTACAAATAATGATTCACACATAATCTATAACATCGCAAAGGATGGAAAAGAGAGATTGTTACCAAGAGCAACAGAGAGGGAAATGGACACATCTTAAAGAGCATAACAAATAATCATAAACAGCACAGGTAGAGCTGCTGTAGCCTGAACACCATCACGCAGCCAGAGTTCTTAACGTCTTGTTTTCTATAAGTTGAGACGAAGTGTCAATAAAGGAGAGGAACAAGGGAATCTTGCACCCCCTTGTCTAGGGAATATATAGAAGGAAGAAAAGGTTAGGTTTGGGTTTTTGGGTTCGCAGGATACCTTGGTTTTTGGATTCTCTGGAATAACAAAAATACAAGTTGGGTAAGGCATAAAGTCCACTTGGTGCTCCTAAGTTTCAGCTTTATCATGCCATGCATACTGAGGTAAAGACAATGTTTACAAGGGGGTTGAGAGGACCCAACCCTCCCCTTTGGCAGTGCCCTTCGTCCCGGTCATGGCATCTAGGACGGTCGAGTAAACTTTGTGATGTGAGGTTCAGGTGACAGCCTCTAATTAATGCATCTATACTATAAAGAATTAACTGATGTGGTACGAGGTACCATGATAGTTGTGCACATGGCATGTCATTCGACAGAGCAATCAGTTACATAACTCAATGTGTATCTGGCAGAAATCAAACATGTCTGATAAATTTCATTCCACTCCCTCCAACATCCAGATTTCATCAGAGTTCCTCTGGGATGGGGAGGTGAGGAGGGGTTGCTGACTCAAGAAATAAATATTTGCACAGAAAATGAACACCACATTCATTCTTTCCACATTAGATTTCATTTGTATTTTGGATCTGGTTTACGGTATTTGTTACCAAGTGCAACACACCTTCAAGTGACAAAACCCGAAAACAAGCCCAACATTTCCTATCTTTAATTTATTACCTAGACAAGAAAGCAAGCCCCCTTTACCCCCCTTTATAAACATTTCATGGCAACATAGAAAACAGCATCAAAAACTTTGGTTGCAGCGGTGTTATGAACTTAGTCTCTGAGCAGGGATATACAGCAAAGATCTTCATTATCATGCGGTAAAAATGAGGCCACTGCAGCTATACCTGTGTTGTTTACGACTATATTTCCTATGCTCTATATCTGTGCATCTCTCGATAAATGTTTCTTTTTGTCGTTTCATCACACTCATGAGGCTGCAGTAGCTGTACGTGTGTTTTAATGGTTCTATTTCTTATGCTCTATATAAGATGGCTGTGTCTATTTCCCTCTATCCGCGTTGCTCTCGGTACCATTGGCCCTTGTCTTCTTAAAGTCTAACTGTTGTAAATATCAAATTTACCTCAATATCAACTCAGTCATTCATTCAGTATCAACAACAAGCAGATTTAACACACAAATTATCTGGGTCTGAGCCAAGAGACTTGAGCCCAGGAGCTATAGGGGACCAACACCCACTCAGAGCCAAATGCACACAACCAGTGGAGTCAATATCATTCAGCATCATCTTCCCTTGTGTCTAACTACATGAACAGCAACACATCTACTTTAAATTATAAATAAAAAAAAGAGAAAAATCAGCTAACTCCTAGATGGGCTTCGCAAATAAAAGTAATTAGGACCCAAGGCCCGTCTCCCAGGTCGGCAAACCTACAGAAAAACCTACGATATCATAATTGGACAGACTTGTACTAGCGTTTTCATATTGGATTAGGAAAATCGAGACGACTCAGGGCTTTGAGCGTCTCTCTGACTTCAAGAGAGGGTTCTTGGGGGTCTGCCTTGGCAAAGCACGCGCGGGGCGATGGCATTGGCATTGTTCTGGACTAATTTACAAACGGTAGGTGCGAGCGGCGCCCGAGGGCCGGCGGGACACGAGGAGCCTCGCCATTGCGGTCACCGGCTTCGTGTTTACACCGAGTGACGTCACTTCCAGCCTTAAACGCTGCTCCTCTGGCCCTGTCGACACTACTTACTCTTCGCAGGTCTATTCCTCAGCGTGGCCTTCGCCAGCGCTGCGCCTAGCCTGGGAATCCTGATGGTTGGCCAAAAGGCTTTATTCTGAAAATCGATTCCCTTCGCTGAGTTTGAGCAAAGCTATTTCAACTTAGGAACTTTACACTTTCGCAACTTAGGGTTCCCCTGGACGCTTGAGACAAAAATGTACCAAAGATACATTAACAATACAGTTGTGCTATACATATACAAGTCACATAC